GCTTTGGGTTTCTGCCACCTGCAACTGGAGCCATGTCTTCAACTGGCCTCCAACACATCTCATCAGGGTGGCAAACTTGATGGTCTCATCGAGGCGAGCTCCTGTCTTCTCGTACTCTGCATAGGCCTCTTCCAGCTTGAGCAGCTGGTTCAAAATGCTCCCTTTTCTCATGTCGAACTGCGTCGAACTGTCCCCACTCCAATATCATCGTCAAAAGTCCAAGGGACCGATTCTTGCTTGTGGGCTCCAAGCTCTGGATGAGGACTCTGTAGGCCTCCAGACCGTTCGACTCTTTCACCTGCTTGATCAGGGAGAGAGGCCTATGACGTAGGAGAGATGCCAGCAAGGCATACAGGAAGCTGCTTCGTTGACGCTCTTCATCACTTTGGAGGGCCACTTCAATCTCCCTTCCTGGATTGGACCTGAGCTCCTTGATGTCCTCGATGAAGTTGGAGTCCATGGAAGAAAGATATTGCTCCAGGCTCCATGAGAAGTCTCTCCACTGGGCGGTCTCTTCCTCCCGTGAGCGTGGATCGAAGTTGGGAGGTTTTGGTAGGATTCGAAGCCAGTTTCGATCCTCTGGTTTCCTGGTTACCGCTTCCACCGCCTGGACCATTCGTCGGGCTATCTCGGCCCCATCAACTGCGCCCCCAGCCACACTCCCTGTAGGAGAACCTGGTATTGGAGATCCTTCCAAACCAGCCATATCTCCCTCCTTGGGCTCAAAAACGATGGGCTCCTGGTGGATGTAGAGATCACGGGCAAAGGGAAAAACTTGTAATCGAGGATGAACTCTTGCAGTGATTGCGAGCTCTGCTGGGTCTCCGCCCAACACTAGCCAGGCACCTATGGCAGCCGCACGTTCGCGCGGCCGGGCCACCGACCAGGGGATTTGGGTCCTGTCCCCAAGGATCCTGGAGCCTCAGGCAAGAGCTATGCAATTGCCATCCCTGGCTCCGCTACCATGCGGATCCTTTTGACAACCTGAAACGGCGGCCTGTATGTGCACTTCTTGATTTGTGCGTGTCACCTTTGGTGTACACATGTGAGTGCTTCTGCACCATGTTCGCAATATATAACTATATATATATATACATAAACTGAGGCTTCGACAGGAGCGGCTTCAATTGGCCTAAAAGTACGCCACAGACCTCTGGCTGAGCCAGTGGCGGGCCAAGCGCTTTGCTTGAATCATTTGGTACGCAAGTGCGGTACAATTTGACTTGATGCTTGATGACATACAAAGGATGCATACTGCACATTGAAATGACACATGCCACATCAATCCATGAAATGGTCCTGCCTTTCTTCAGGTCTTTAACGCTTGCCGTCATGTCATGGTTAGTTGGGCTGCTAATCCTCTCTAGCAGAGTCTGGCTGCCACTCATCTTGTTGCATCATCAGTGTCTTGGTGGAATCCAGCCCACAAAGCGGGGTCTTCAAAGGCGAAGACTTCAGAGTCAATAGCTTCCTCCGTCTCGCGAACCTGGCTGGAAGCACCAACGGGGTCCTCCTCAACTGCACATGCGCGCATAAGCACCTATATAGATATACATACCACTGTACACATATATTTATATATATGTACATATATATATATACATACCTGTACGAATGCTGGGCGCAAACTGCTGAAGCATAGAATGTGGGAATGGCAAAGCATCTGAACCAGTGAAAGTGACACAAAGGTTTTGTGGGCAACCGATGTGCTCTTCTCAAGTGATAAGCTGCACTCACCTGAGTATACGATCCGATTCATCCGTTTCTCACCTCTGTCAGCAGCAGCAACGTACCGGACCGTATACCATTTGTTATGCTGGAACATTTGAGAAATGATATATAAAACCTCATTAAGTAAGGCTCTTTGCTCTTAGGTGAGGTGTCCTCGTTGCAGTCGTTCATCCAGCGCCTACTTAAAACTCCGGGCCAAGCTCCAGATCGCCTCAGAGTCCCATCTATTCGCCAAACAATGGGCCCAATCTGATGGTCAAAGCCACCAGGCACCGGGGGAGAAAGGCTTGTCAGAACTCCAGGCGCTGCGTCCACTGAGTCGGCCTCCAAGGTTTTGGGATCCCATCGGCTCCCATGGTCTTGGACCTCAGGTGTTCCATCTGCATGTCAGGTTCGGCGCTGGGTGCGATGAGCGGAGCAAAGTCGGAGGATCTCGTTGCAGATCATGGCGGATGTCGGGAGTTGGGGCAGACTTGCTGTGAGGTTCTGTCATGGTAGCAGAATGGGATCTAGCTGTCTAAACGATATGGCTGTGAAGCTTGCACACACAGGGCAATATCTCAATCATGGAGGCTCACACAAGAAAGGCTTGTAGCAAAACGCTTTTGGTAGGGTCTTCTGGGTGATATCCACGTGTCTATATAAATGTGAAGAGTCTGAAAGGTGTGGCTGCTCATGCGTTTGATGTTGCAGGTACGTGATGTCCCACCCTCACTATCAATATCGTGGTAGAGATGGTCCAGGCTTCACTCCGCCAGGATTGATTCTTTCCCCGGTTTGTTGCCTCCGGACTGCCAGGACTCCCTCGACTTTGCAGTTGAAAGGCAGATTCAAAAGGGACTTGACTTGGATTGGGCCTGACTTTGAAGGATGCATCAACCTCAGAAGACTAAACGCTCTTTGACAGCATATGCGGCGTATTTCAGAAGCGGCACCCACCTTCATGCCCAGCGAGGATGGACATTGCGTCTCACTCCCGTATGGCCCTATGGCCCTATAGGCCATAGACCCCACATAGGAATGAAAGCGGCCCCATGTTGCCCCAAACAACCGGCGCAAAACCTTGAACAAAGAACGGACAAAGCACAAAATCACGTCTTTAATGTGCGACTCCCCAACCCGAGCTTCCAGGCAATCTCACTCAATCGTTGCACCAGCAAGGGCCTGGGTAGACTTCGCTTCAGAAACATTGGAATCTGGGGCACTTTTACGCTTGAAGCTCGTGACTTACTCCTTCGTCCAGATGATCTTCAACAAGTCCTAAGGCTGGGATGCATTGTTCCACCAGCAGTAACCCCACCATTCCTGTCCGGGTGGTAATTATCTTACGTAAAATGAGTTCTGCACACTATAATATCGATAAGGACGCTGCCCATGGTCCTGAAAGAAAAACAAGACAAAACGTATACACAAAATAGACATTGATAGTGTACAGCTCACCAAGATGTTGATTGCCTTCTTGGTGTCGTGACCTGCCTAGTAAATGAGGAATGGTCTGATGTTTGCTTTGACATGTTTGGGATTGTTTCGGTCAAAATTTTGCGACAAGGCTTCTGTGGTCTGTGGCCCTTCAAGTCATCAGAACCCGAGATGCCATGAGATGTCACAGGGCGCTCCCGCCCTCTGTTCGCACTCAGCCTTCGACCAACAGCCCAGTTGGCCTGGTTGGGCCACCGACCTGGCTTCACTGGGATTGTGCCACATCATGCCACCATTTCTGGGTCACGCTGCCTGTTAATGCAACGCCTGTGCGATCCAAAACCATGCATTCGGAGACCTCAGATCTTTCCGTATCCAGTCCCCCATCAAGAAAAGACCACAGGGGTGCCCAAATTTGCCAATTGGGTAGATGATCAAATGGAGCCTTCGCGCCGGCATGCATTACTGTAGACTGTGTATATATATATAGATAGAGAAAAAGAGAGAGAGAGAGAGAGAGTATTCAATTTGCCAGGGTTGCAAAGCAGCAGCATCCGTCAGCCGCAAGAGCGCGTCGCCTGGATCTGGGCTTCCAAGCTGTTTTGGAAGTCCAGGCTGCAGATGGTCCAAGTGTGTCCAGCGTTTCAAGGTGCTGATAACAAACAAAAAACAGCTATACCATCCTGGTGGGTCTTGAAAGTGTGGGTCGAGATATAGGGGACTGCAAAGGCGTTGAACATCTAATTGACGCAGATCTGGCGAAAGAGGAGGTGCAATTCGACACACTGCAAACATTCAACATGAATAGCAGCCCAAAAACACTATTGGTGAACCCAATGCCCAAACACGACATCTTCATGATCTAGTTGATGCATTCTTATGGGACGGACCTTGGATCTTGTTGTCCTTTCACCGCCCTAAGCACGCAAGTTCATATATGAAGGCTAAAGCACCTGCTGCAACACCAAGGGGGTTCTTCAGGTTTCAGAAAGCTAGGCAAGCCCAGGTGCCAAGAACTTGGACCCCCACTTCCCATCAAACAAGCCCACAAGAATCAACGGCGAATTGTTAATCGATGCATCAGGGAATGGACGACATCAGATTCTTTTCAACCAGAAAATCGAGCAAACATGCAAAGCTTAATGTCGCATCGGCCAGCCAGCGCTGTACATCGCTGTACCATCCTGCCAAATCCAACGTCTTCCGAAGACTCTTTCATACTCCGTTTGGAAACCCATCCGAACCATCGTTTCCTGCGCTTTGAATTTGAAGTGAGGATGGCCGGTGTTTTCGGCTGGGAGCTTCCAAACATGCCTACATTGTGCCCACATCCAGTGACTAGAAATGCGGAACAGCAATGACACTGATCGTGTGCATGTTGGCATGTTGGCTGGGTTTGTCAGCGTGCCCTCGTTTACACATCATGCTTGAAGAACGAGGTGAATAGAACGTTCGATATATAAGTATTCGTTTTCGAGTTGACTTCACAAAGGTTGGCAGGTCTTGCCAAAATGATCGAAGCCAAAAAAAATTATGTAGGTGGCATACCGTGCACTGCCTCCATGACCAAAACCCAGATATATAATTAACTCGTCAAATTCATCAAAAGTCACGTGACAAGTTTCGCTCTCAATGTGCGGACGGCACAAGGCAAATGCAACGTCTTGATAGTATATGATGCATATGATGATTTCGGCAGGATGCCGATTTTCTGCAATGGGCCTGGGTGCCTGTACCTCTGGCCTTCTTAGATTAAAAACCTAAAAAGGGCAAACGGCGCTTGTGACGGCTGCAAAGTTCGGGGGTTCCAAGCAATAAACTTGCAAGAATGTCGCAGAATAATTAAGGTACGTATTTTACACTGGACCCCGTGCAGCGGGAGGGTAGAAAAATCTAAAAAGTATATATCACGTCACTCACTAGGCTCACTTCACCAGGCAGCTGATGCCCAGAAGAAAGAACAAGCCCATGCCAGCGCGGGCGACCTCAAACTCTTAGATTAGACATCTCACTTGAATGCAAACAAGAACAACTGATAATTGACTCAGAGCCTGTTGGGTTGTTGGGCGGGTGCTTCCCCCCCAGTGTGCTATCGCATGTATTGGATCGCTCGAGCACAGCAAAGAGCCGACGTACTGAGGCAACATCATGAATAGTTGATTAGCGGAAAGGAGTGGACATCGGAACTCCCAAACAGCTGGGGCCTTCTTCACGACCTCGGGACTGCCGGTCTTGGTGATGCCGAAACAGGCCCAGCTCACAGCGCAGGAGTAGCCGAGGCCGAAGCCCCAAGCTGACCCTTGGCCTAGCCGTAGCTATCGATGAAACGATCATGGTGAACCACAAAAAAAGAGAGACGACAAAAACTTTTTTTTTTCGCACGGGCATCGGCTGTGCTAGGTCCTGCCAGGCTTTGCTGGCCTATGGCCGCAAAGGGAGCCGGCTTGGCGCGGAGGCCCCGGCAAGCGCAAGGATCTCCCCGAGAGGGAGATCTGCGGAGCTGGTGGGGCACTGGGGCGCGCGCCAGTCGTCCCCAAGCAGCGTGGGGCACAAGGCGCGCTGGACGGCGACGCCAAGGAGGCCCCACCAGCGGCGGCGCCACCCGGCAGCGGCGGCGGTGCGGACCGCGGGAGGCGCGCGCCGGGCGCGAAGGCGGACGAGGCGGCGCACGAAGGTCAAGGACTCCGTGTTCCAGCGGCCGCCGACCTCGCAGGCGAGGACCAGGAGCTGCTGCGGACCGTCGGCAGCAAGCTCTGGATAACGGCGACGCTTGCGCCGCTCGGCCAGGCGGAGCGCGACACCATCCGCCTCAGCGGCCCCAGGGACGGGGGCACCGCCGCGCGTCAAGGCGGAGACGAGGGTGGCATCGCAGCACCACGTTTCCCCATGTGGCGAGGCGCCATGCACGACCAGGTCGAGTCGGCGGCGGTCATCGGGGGAAATGTGCGGGGTGTTGGTGCGCGCGAGCCACTGCTGCGGAACGACGCGGCCCTCGGCGCCCACAGCCTCGCGGGCGACGCGCACCCACGCGTGCTCCAAGACATGTGCGCGGCGGGCGAGAGCGCCGCTGCGGGGGCAAGCTGCGCAGTGGTCGCCCAAGCGGTCCAGCGGCTCCCCACAGCCGGGAGCGCCGTCACCTCCACAGCGGGCACGCGCCAACGGCAGAGGCAAGCGGAGTCGGCGCCGGAGGGCGCGGTGCATGTAGTGAGGCGGCAGTGTGGTCCCAGGCTCCGAGGGGATGGCGGTGAGCCAGGCGGCGGCCTGGGGGCCGGCTTGTGACCGGAGCATGGCGCGGGACGCCGGGTTGAGGGCTGGGAGCAGCTCGCTCTCTCTGAAGGACTGGTGAAGTACGAGAGAAGCTTGCCGCTGCCAACCGCCAGGCCCAAGCCCCGGACCAGACTGGTCAGTGGAGGCCGCATCAGGTTGGAGAGCATGGAAAAGGGCATGCCACGTGGGGCAGGCGGTCCACCCATGGCGGTGGAGGTGCGTGGCCGCGGCGGCGGCAGCCCGCAAGCAAGGGGCAGCGGCCTCGTCGCCGACCGCGAGTTCACGGACGCATCGGGCAGCGGCATCGGGGTACCGTTGGCGCAGAACAGGGAGGGCGTCTGCCCAAGCGGCCCAATATGCGGCGGGGGCCGTGCGCTCGGCGGCGACGAGGCCGAGCCCGCCGAGCTGCGTTGGAAGGAAGGCGACGTGGCGGGCGACCTGCCAGGCGGGGGTGTTGGCGCCGGCTTCGCCAAGGAGACTTTGCAGGGTGCCCCAAGTGGCGGCATCGTGGGCGGCAGCGAAGGTCGCGGACGCAGCGGGGGGCAGGGTGCGCAGGAGATGGTGCGCACGGGGAGCGGCGCAGAAGGAAAGTAGGAGCCAGGCGCTCTGAAGGTCCGGCAGTGCGGCGATCTCCTGCAGGAGGTGGGCATGAGACAGGTGAGTGTCCCGGGCCGTCTCTGCCACGAACTCGGGCGATCCGATGGGCGAACCTAGGGCGATGAACCCCCGCTGGGCCGGCGGCAGGTCGCCGCGCCAAACGTCGGGCCCAAGCTCCGCGATCCCTGGCGGCGCGCACCCGCCGGCGCCGCTGTAGACCCGCGTCTTTCCGAGGTTGGAGGCGACCCCGGCCAGACGTTCGACATTGTTGGTCACCAGGTCAAAGGCTGCACGGGCGCGAGCCGGCTGCGTGACAATGTACAAGTCAGCAAGATAGGCTGCAAGGACGTCGCCTGGGGCCAAGTGGGCCGCGGAAGCCTCCAGCGCGGCGTGTTGCCCTAGGGAGAACAGGGCCGGCGCAAGCGCGTCTCCTTGTTCACATCCTTCAGCTTGGCGGATGTGGTGGCACGCGCCAGAATCGTCCCACCAGAGGTACGTGCTCGTGTGTGCATAGAAGGAGCGCACGAACGGGACGAGGCGAGGAGCGACCTGCAGGAGTTTGTCCAGGAAGGCGGAACGGGAGACGCAGTCATACGCGCTGCGGCCATCGAGAGAAATGATGACGGCCGAGGGGTCGAGCTCAGAGGCAACTCGCAATGTGGAGGCGAGGCAGTCGGTGCCGGCTCGGGTTTGGAGCGCGAATTGGAAGGGCCGGGTAGCGGCGTCGAAAACCGCGGCATGGAGGCGTGCGAGAGTGCGCGAGACAAGGCGGCGCAGCACATCCCCCGTGGCGATGCCGCGGACCCCGCCGTTTGGTTTCGCGAGCGCGGTGAGGCGAGCCAAAGCGAGGGCAGACAGGACTTCGGGCGGGGCCGCGCCGTTGGCCAATGCAGTGGCGGCCCGGGCAAAGAGCTCGAGTGCGTCCTCATCATCAAGAAGGACTTTGTAGTGTTCGGCGGTGGCGCCAGACAGGCCTGCGGCCGAGCCACGTTTGCTGGTGCGAAGGGCGTCAGCGAGGTCATGCGCAGAGAGAGGGAGTGGAACTTGTGGCTGGTAGTCAAGGACGGCCTGGGAAACGGGCGAGCGCGGGGCTGGCGGACGGCGCTCCGGGTCGGACAGCGCAGCTAAGGTGGCAGCGGTGCCTGGCGCCTGCGGGGAAGAAGTCAGGAGTTGGCGCGCGCGGGAGAGTTCACCGCGGCGGACTTGGGCGACAGCGCGGGCGCGCAACGCGTCGGGCGACGGCGGAGCGGCGCGGGCAGGCGCGGGACCCCGGGCATCGTCGAGGAGGCGTTCCCAACGGCCTGCCTCAAAAGCGGCGAGGCGCTGTAACAGGAGTTCCCGGCCGGCAGGGCCAGAGGCGGCCGTAGGCCGAAGGAGGAGCCGGGGGGTCAACAGGAAGAGTTTCCAAGCGCGGCATTGTTGCTGCGGGGTGGCGCGAGGCGCGGCCAACGCCCGCAGGCTGATGAGAAAGGCGTGTCTCAGCCCAGGGGCCAGGAATCGGGGCACAGACTGCATGGTGCGGACGGGGCGCTCGAACTCGGCGGCGAGGTCGACGTCATCGAGGAAGCGCCAGGAGCCCGGGCGTAGGGTAGCAGGGGGGGCTGGAGGCCTCGGGCGGGCAAGGGACCTCGTCGGCGGACGCCGAAGCCTCGGTGTCGGAGATGGTTTCGGCAGGGGGCACCGGCGGGGGGGGCGGCGGGCGCAGCAGGCAGAGCGGCCGCGGTAGGGCCCTGATCCCCTAACGCCGTGCCGGGAGGGCCTGCCAGGCGGAAGGAGTCGGTGAGGCGGTCGAGGTTCGCAGCAAAAGCGAGGCCGCCGAAGACTTGCAAGAGGATTTCCTGTGCGGCGGCAGGCGCATAGCCACTGTGGCCCGGCGCCAGAAGGTGGCGCAAAGCCCAGCCCAGGTGGACGCACGCCGCCGCGGGTAGCCCGGCGGTGGCGGCACGGAGGCGGGCGTGGCAAGCGGCAGCCTCGGCGGCCTCGGAGGCGGCTAGTGCGTCGAGGAGTTGGGCCGGTCGAACTGGAGGCGCTTCTGCCAGCGTCTGGCGAGCGGTGGCCCACCAGGGCGCGCTCCGGGGTTCGTGCTCCCAAAGCGCGGCTGTGGCCGGGGCCATGAAGCCAGTGGCGGCGTGGAGGAGGGGCACGTAGCACCACGAGTTCGTCGGGGTGGTGACAAGGCCGGCCGGCGGCCCGCGACGCGCCCACGCGAGGCCGGGGACCGGCGGCGGGGTGGGCAGGGCGGCCGTCAGGGCTGGCGTGGTCGGAGCAGCCTCACAGTGGCAAGCGAGGCGGCCGGCGGAGGCGCGTGCGTCGAAGAGCCACCGCCGGGGCTGCTGGCAGGAGGGGCAAGCGGAGCCGGCCTCGGGTGGGACCGCGGCCTCGTCCCATTGGATGTGGCGCGAACACGCTGCGCAAGCCCAGGCGAGAGTCCACGCAGCGATGCCACCAGAATGGCGATGAGGAATGGGGGACCACCGTGCTTCGCGGTCGGGCAACTCGCGAAACTGGGTGCCTTCCGGGCCGCGCAGCAGGGCGACCCGGGGGCAGCAGGAGACGGTGACATGTATTGGTTCCTGCGGTGGGGGCGCGTCCTGCTGGGTGAACGTGCGGGTGGTGTAGTCGGGCACGCTCGCTCGCACGGTTGGGAAAGTAGGCTCCCGGCCAGGGATGCGGACGCCGTTCTCCACACACAGACGGGTCAACGCAGTGTCGTGTGCAGAGGTCCAGCCCTCCGGAGTGCACGCGGGGCACGCGGGACGACAGAGCGGGCAGCGTAGGTCGGACGCGTCGCCAGCGTGCGCGCGCCAACGAGCGAGACATTCGAGGTGGAGGGCATGGCGTGAACACACCGGGAAAGGAACAGGGCGGAGGCCCCCGGACGCGCAAGGGTGAAGCCCGTCCTGGCAAACGCAACACAGTTCGTCGCATGCTGCGGGTGGTGTGGCGCCTCCAGCCAGCGGCGGGGTGGAAGCGCCTGGGGCGAGGGGGGCGGATTCGCCGGACAGGCCAGAGGCGGCGGCCACGTTGGCGCGACGCGGTACGGACGGTGCAGCGCGAGGCGGGACGCGGCGTTGCACAAGCACAAGCGCGGTTGACGCCACGAAGCCGCAAAAAGCACGAGCGCCGGTCACACCTTTTTGAACCGCGGCGGGGCACAAGAGGTCTTTGCCTGCGCGGGGCGCCGGGAGGGCACCCTGCGGAAGGAGAACGCAGGCTAGGGCGGAACACTGCTTAGCGCCACGGCGGGAGGCGCCGTGGCACGGGAGCGGTGAGCCGACCCGGAAAAAAGGCAGTCACGGGGCGCTCAGCGACGGC